TTCACGTACTCCTCATACAAAGCAATCCTCACCCCGTCGCTCGGTTTGCCCACAATCTCCGCCTCGTGCCGCTGCGCGTGCCAATCTCCGCGGTATTCGAGGCGCTCGTACTTTTGCAGGATTCTCACCACTAGTAATTAACCATATTAGCGTTTTCCTTTCTCTGATTTTGCGAGTAGGAGTGTCGATTTGTCTACTTACTGCAATACGCCATCTCCGTCATGGCAAAGTTCTGTCCGACGCAGATGCGCGGGCCGCCGTTGAAGGGCACGTACTGCCAGGGCTTCGGCGTCCAGCTCTCCCACCGTTCGGGCGAGAAGAGGGCGGGGTCTTCGAACTTCTCGGATGTAGGCGGGTACAGGTCCCTGCGCCGCTGCATCGCGAGCGTGCTGTAGATCACGATGTCGCCCTTGACCACCGAAAGCGGCGGGTGGCCCGGCGTCGTGGGGAGCGTCGTGTCCTCGAGCGCGCTGCGGATATTATACGGCACGGCCGGGTACAGCCGCAGCGTCTCGTTCAGCGTGTGCTTCAGATACGGCATATCCTTCAGATCCTCGTACGTAGGCGTTCGCGTCCGACCGACCGAGTTGATGACCTCGTGGCGCAGCTTTGCGAACTTGTCGGGGTAGTGCGACAGCTCGTAGAACGCCCATGAGAGCGTCGCGGCCGTCGTGTCGCGTCCGGCGAGGAGCACGGCGATGATCTGGTCGCGGAGGACTTGCCGGTTGCGCGTGTACCGCGCGATGCTGTGGAGGAAGGTGAAGTGCTTATCGGAATTCGACAGCTTCTCGAGCTCGTCCTGCGGCAATGCTAGTGCCTGCTCGATGTAGGGCATCATGAATCGGTCGAGAACCCGGATTCCCTCGTTGTAGCGACGACGGGGCAGGAAGGCCTCGAATGGCCTGCGTCGGAGTTAGTAAGTGATCCAATAGTGCAGGGCCAAAGTTGGTTCGGTTATTACCCAACCGTGGTGATCATCATCTGGATTTTCTGAACATCGTTGAAAGCTTTGGCGAATTCATTCTGCGGGCTTGGACTACGTTAGCAATGACAATGACTTGGTATCGGGGCACTGCATACTTGCTTAGACTGTCAACACACGCGCCGAGAAGAAATTCCGTGGTAACATCCAGAGTCATCCGATATAGAACATCCATGATATCTACCGTTTGTCCCGAGGGCGGAAGCTTAGTAAGGAGCGCAGACACCCCTTTCTCGAACGTCGCCAGGTCGCTGACCCTGTCCTTGACGAACATCGGCCGGATTAAGCTGCGGCTGTCGTGCCAGAGCTGGCCGTCGGTCGTGAAGATGCTATCGCCGAGAAAAGGTCGCCATAGATCGTGAAACCGCGGTCCCTTGCCGAAGTCGGAAAATTGCGTGGTCAGCACCGCCTTGATATGCTCCGGATCTCGAGTGAGCAGGTATCTCTCCCGAGGCATGACCTGGATCTCCACGCAATCCGGGCACTCGAGAGTTGCCGCGTTGTAGAATTCAGTATAGTGCTCCAGAAGCTGGTTTCTCATCTGAGCCTTAGCTGCGCGGTAGAACCACGAGGCGGCTTTTCATTTTGCATTTCATATGTTAGGAACGTTTTCTTGAATAGACAAGATGATAATCCTCTTTCTCGGTTTCTCAAGTCTAGGCTTACCCGTAAAAGGGCCCGTGAGAGGATTGCTTGCGAGGCTAGGTGCGCGGGTTCCCCCTATCTTCCTAATCCTTAGCTCGTGCCGCGTCCATTGAACCACATAATAGGCGAAAGCGCAAGCTAGCGACAATGCGCAGGCTACCGCCAGATGAGCGAATGACAACTGGGCCAGCATCGCAACATCAATTTAACTTTTGGTACGAGTCTTAAGTATCAGCTCAAGTGCTTATGAGATGTAGTTCCCGTTTCTCTTGGTAGTAGGATGCAATCGGCCTTAACAACTAGGCGGCTCATAGCATTATCAAGGTCAGTCAGGAAGCCAAGTCAGCATATGATTAGCCATATACCTCGGTCAGGTCAGATCTATCACAGGCGTCAGCTGTCAATCGTTCCTTGATATGAAGTCAACGTCTGAGCTTAGGCCTGAAGCCAATTGGTCTCTTCAGGGGTTCCCCGCAGAACCATCGTGAACCTAATGCAACGTGAATACAATACTGCCCCTCCATTCCGCCCTAAGTGATGCAGCAGACTAGATGTTGTGGCCAGTAGGATAGAGAATACCGTCTCGCTAATATGTTAGTCTAAATCTTCTTAATGTGGTTCTTCGTGGTGGATTTCCCCATGGGGTGGTATAGTGCGATTTTCTGACTGTGGTTCTACGAGCTAGTTTTCTAGGCAGAGATTATTTACCAGCTTAGACATTGCTCGTTGCTAAGCATTCTAAATTAGAAGGTCAAGGAACTGCATGATGATTAAATAAGTTTGTTGGTTTCCTATAATATCAACTACCTACCTAAGGCAACAAATACGGTTTAAGACTAGTAGAGCTGGTCGTGCTGGTCGTTTTGTGTGAGACTTGGCCACATGGAGGTTCATTGCAAGGCTTATTGAACCGAAATCAACTAGGATGATGTTGACGCATAGAATCTAGCCGGGCGTAAGTAGTTGATATCTGACGCTCCGAAGCAACTATTTAATACATATTGGAGGATTCCAAGTGGTGTATCGTGAAGTTGCGATAGTTCGTAACTAACATCCTTCGGAATCTAGTTAAGCTGGTTTAAGATCCTGTGGATCTTCCTCTATCGTAACTGCTACGAGGTTTTCTCTAAATGCTTTGCAGGATCGATGATTTCAAAGCTGTCGTTTTGTTGATTCCAAAAGAGAGAGAGAGAGAAGAGTAACTGTGACGAAAGAACTCAAACACCACACTAGTAGAAATTGCAACTTAAAAATAGGTATATAAGGGCATCCCTTCTTATATTCAGAAAGCAGAGCCTCAGAATTCTCAGGTATGAAAGACTTATATGTCGAAGGTAGGTAGTTGAGGTTGTTAGCAGTATCCATTTACTCTATGGTCACAAGGACTAGGGGAAGATGATTGTCCAAAAACTTATGGAAGAACCATTTGCGATATATAGGTAAGTATGGTAGTGACAAAGGGAATCAGGTGTCGGAGGGAAAGGCAAATATGGTTCTGTTAAATAATCATGACGCCGCCGGAAATATCTGGTCGCGTTGTAATAGGGGTTGAGCTAGTTGGTGATGATTAGAGTGTTGGGTCACTCAATTAGAATGGTCTCAATAATCTAAATTCGGCGAAATGAGTTGATGGAAATACTGTATTGAAATGGGATAGGTTTGAAAACGTAGGTAGGTAGGTAGTTGGGAGGTAAGCTGGTAGAAAATGTATACCTTAGAAAGGAGAAAAAGTTTGCGACTGTAATTGGTGGTGCATCACCACTTGAGTACGAGCCCAGCCTCATAATAGTAGCGATTGAGTGGGCGGGTGGTGATGGCATCTTTTCTGCCATGTGAGGAAGGTAGCTCGGGCAACGATGCTCCCACAAGGGGCCGGGAGGTTTGGCCTACCAAAACCTAGGAACCGACGTAGACCATATAATTGATTCTAAGAACACCGTATTCTAAGAGCAAAGGAAGCGGAGATCCCCCAGCAGTACCAAGTGTCATCGAGGTACCTTGACTACTGCTGAGCGTGGGCTAGAGGTTTGATGTGTGTACATGACCTCGAGGATGTCTACCGGGTTGACAAGCACAATGCGCGAGTGTTTGGGATGGGTATGGCAGCCTTCCGACCGTCTGGCTGGCCCACGTTCTGGAAAGAGAGTTGCTCTGCTCTCTTGATGATAGAACAATCTTTTTGTCATTTTTTTTCCTGATTTCCTATTACCTTCTTCTGACGGCAATGGTATTGTGGTGTTTTGGTGGTAGTGGTGGTGCTGGTGGCGGTGGTAGAAAGGAGTATAATCGGACCAGAGAGCCTCAGGTACCTCGCTCCGGACGACGCGAGGTACATGCGCGGGATCGTGGTGGGCGACGAGTGACAGCCCTTCCTTACGGCTTTTGGTGCAGTTGTCAAGAGGCATCTTACATTTCAAGAGACAGTAATGCGTAGGTCATGGATTCAACACTTGGGTGTGCGCCGTTTTTCAATCGCTTTTTTCTCCCCCTTTTCTCCTCCCTCCCTCTCCCATTTATTCCCCACCCCTTCCACCCAACTCATGATGGCTTCCCACCATAAGCAATAACTTTCCTACCTCCTTTTCAAAGACCACAATTCTGATATATATCATCAACATATGAACCTTCATACATACGTTCATACGTATATGCGATTTGCATACCAACGATGCCATATGCATATGATTAAAACATGATGCCCACAATCGACTACAATCACAGCGTCGATGGATTATAAATGTAGTTAGATTGCTGTTGAAAGAGGAAGAAAAACACCCAATTCCCTTTTTACTTAGATTCATATTTTAGAAGTCGCCCAAGATGAAGAACATATTTCTCTCCTCGTTTTACTTATGTAGGCAGTTATTCCACCTTCGCTCTCCAAAGGCATCCATTCTCACATGGCAATAAGTATATTGCCTAAGTAGAAGTAAATTTGACCTATAAGTCGTTTACCGCTTCTCTTCGCATAGTAGTACTCAATTTTTTGGGCGTTCTTGAAAGCCATGGGCTGTGTATGGCTTCGTGATGATCACTGAGGTATATCGATCCAAAGTTGATAAGATGTGTGGAAGAGTGAATATGGTGTCAGGTTAGTTACAGTATCAAAGGTAGCTTCATATCAATAGCTTATGAAGACCTTGGTCTAGCTCGAAAGGTAAGCATACCTAAATACAAACTAGTGGAATATAGGAATTCTAGCCAAGTGCCTTACGAGCTGATATTTGGCGTCTTTGTCATATCGTCCCCGTCGTCGCTCTCTACAATAGATTCAACGAGTCTAATAAGTTCTTGTATATTTAACTTTATCCTCTTCTGGCAACTTAATCCGCTGATCCATCTTATTACCACAGGAAAAATGAAGGAAAGCAAGCTGCACTGCTAGGATTGAACTAACGATCTTCCGATTCCTTAGGTACTCAACGTAGGTATGTTTGGCAATAGTGTTTGATAATAGTTAGACGCCTTCACCACTGGGCCAAATGACATTGAGAATTAGTATATTTGACTTATACTGTAATCATAACCCCAAACATGTTTGGTATCGACTTCTCGTTTATTATTACGTGTAACATGGCGTACATTGCTTTTAACAATACTGTTATAGCTCGAAATTCCAAATATTTATTGAACTACCAGAAGGGGCAAGGTAGTCTTAAAGCCAAAGGGATCTCCTCCCGTTCTTATGACAAATCTAGAGACACAGATGTTAAAATGACAGATAGAGCGTGAAATTTGCTTTGTATAGGGGTTCTTGAGTTCAATAGCAAGAACATATTTGGAAATATACGCGGCGAGGTGTTAACTTAAATTTCCTTGTAGGATACAACAACCCATAGATATCATAACAAGCATCTTTCCCAAAGGAGGCACGGCCACAACTAGATCGCAGAACAAAATCACTATGGCAAGTTGATCACCATGACTTCCGAAGAAGCGCGTATTCTCCTGAATTGTATATTGCATTTATGAGCTCCTAGGGATGTGCTTTGGAAGAACACTACGCTTTCCACTTCTCACCTAGTTTGTCACAGACGGGGGCCTATTTGAGGCTCTTCAATGCTCATAACCACCTAATCCAAGTCGGAATTAAGGGAAAGATGGGAGGAATCATGCCGGTAAAGAAATGGAAAAGGGGTTTGGTAGGACGCCACGTCTCCTCCATTCCAGGGTGGTCTTGTTTGATTTGAATGTAATTGAAACCTGCAAGATAACAAGTGGTGACTCGGCGGCAACCATCCGTCGCGCGCAACTGTTAGCTCTCACCGAGATGTTGGTGCTTAAAAAGTCCGTGAGACATCCCTCGCTGTCCAAACAGGTTGCTTTACTACGCACGTAACTGACTGGGACTACAACTTAACTCTTCGCTGCTTGCTCAATAAGGATTGTCTCCCACTAATATTCCCCTATCTTACCAAGGAAATAGCGATAAAAGGTACATCTTAGCATTGTTGAAGTAAAGTTAGGTACTTAGATTCTTACAAGACTTGAGCTGGCCTATTATCACGGATGCACGAATCATATGTCATTTTGTTTACTGTGATATCATTTTTATTTACGTAACCAAGGTCTCGAAGGCAAGACAGATCCAGCAGTTCGTACTTTCACTTATATTGGGAAATAAGGGACATCGGTAAGCCGCCGAGCTGAGCAAGGCTCAACCATGACCATCAGCGAACATAGCAGCATTACGGCCGAAAGTCTGGCAATTTGGATTATTAAATTACTATCGAAAACATTGAATTGACTGCACGTTTAATCTACATAGGCGAGGGACCTGAGGACTCTTCCTCATTGTGGAACCGAACAAGAGGGTGGGCTCGCTGGAGCTCGCCTGTGATTGAAGAGAGAACCGTAGGCAAATACAATGCCGAAGAAGCATTGACGGTAAAACACCAACGAACAAGCTTGCTCTCGGGGACTAGACGCGCATATCTGTTGGCTTCATCAACACGGCCTGTGAAGGGTCATCACACGGGACGTAATAGGCGTATTCGCGCCACGTACGTAATGGTTGAAACCAACCTCCCCTTCGATGGCTGTCATGCACTGAACGAGCAAGGTTCGCGACGGGAAACAGCAATGCCGAATGATCCACGTGGCCAAGGCACCAGGTTCCTAAAACGCCCGGCAGGTCTGCAGGACCAGAAAGTGGTATGCGGGTGGACAGACATCCACAGTCGCAGCCGGTGAACCTACATAGAATGCACGAACCTAATTGTTGTCTGTCCTTGCTCTTGGAGTTGACCGGTGGCCGCCGTCGCCGTCCGAATTTCGCCCAGCCGAATACCTAACCGAACCTTATTCCTCAGTCCGGATGGATCCAAAAGCCCTATGGCTGGATCATCCTTTAATTTGGGAGACCTTGTAGCCATCGCAGGATCCCGACTCTAAGAATGTTCGTACAAGGTTGGGTAAATTTCTAAACTTTGACCATCGTCCGTGCCGTCGTGATGACGGAGACTGATCCTTCAAATATGACTTTGCCGCGGATGGCCCTCGCGAACCCGCCCTGTTTTTGACAAGCTCAGCTTAGAAGAAGATCAGTGGAGATCCCCATCGTCGGCCACCCCGACCTGGGGACAAACGATCTAGCGGAAATTTTATTAGACCAAGGAGCTGTCGATACGTCAAAGCAAGATTCAACTTAGCCCTACTAGGCGTAGGGGTTCGACACGAATACGGACACTCGTCAACTCCAGCGGAAGGACGATGCAAGGGCTAGCCTTGTGGAAAGTGTGAGGTTCCGAAACCCTGCGTGACCTGGCACAAAGATGTTGAAGAAGGAAGGCATGGCATCGTAACTATGTCCAACATCTCTCGAGACACGAAAAAGCATGCAGGTGTCTCAGTTTAGATCCTAGACAACCGACTCGGCAGCCTTGTGCACCACTAGATCTTAAAAGAGCGGCAATCGACCATGTAAGGGCGGCGCGAAGTAGCTCATACACAGTAGCGCACAAGGAGGTGTCAGTTCCACCACGTGGGATACCTACCCGCTCGTTTATTCAGCCGCAGCACAAGACAGGACAGCTCATGCGGCACGGGAAGTCGGCCCAGGGATCACATAGATAGATGCCTTCGGATTTGGTGGGACGCTTATTTCCCATCGCCTAGCTAGGCTGGCCTCGTACGGCACTAAGGACCCCAAGAGCCCAATAAATGATGCCACAAATGATACCTAATAAGATGTGACGTCCACCTACTACAGCCTAGTCAGGTGAGTTGATTCGTGGATTATAACAGCCTAGATATTAAGATAAGACTACCATTTAATAGTACGAGAGCCTAAGGGTCCAGGGGTCCTCACCTTGCCTATTTAGAGAAGTATTGACGATGTACCTGAAAGATATCCATGTATATCAATAGCAACATGATGTCTACGTATTTCGTGCAGTCGAGTACGAGTTCTCGGGGCTAGGTTCAGATAATCTTCCGTGTCTTGCTTGTCTGCCACGTGTGAGATCGCCAAGTTGAGTTTTTTTTATCTCCTCGAAATTATTTTGTGCCAATGCAAGGTTCTGAGACCATGCCCTTGTCGGCTTCTAAGACTAACGTGGCTGCGTGGTATGGGGGAGCTCGCTAACTGTCTATACTAAACCACATAAGTGCCGTGCTCGACTTGGCAAAAGAGCATCGGGTGGCTTGGTGGCTGGTTCCTGGTTGACGTAGAATAGTCATAAGGCGGTGTGATTAGATTCGCGTGATAAAAGTTCAAGTACTTCTTTACCCTGGATTACCTCGTACCCATATGGTAGGAGTAGTGAAACGAGCCGTCGAATCGGTCCACAGATACCCACTGCTTAAGGAGGGTATGGTAAATCAGGCGGTGTTACAAAAATGCATGTACAATACTACAGAGTAGGTAGATATTCATCTCAGCCATTCATACATATGTGTTGCGTTGTGTTAAGTAAGGCATGTAGTAGCAATGCAATGCAAGGGTAGCAGAGTAAGACGTGATTTCCAAATTACATACAGTATGAACATCGGCGATGTGACAATCTCACGACGATGGGTTGATAATGGAGAGCCGATAATGATAACGACGATCCTGTCCCGCATGACAGACACATGGAGGGAGGTTCCATACCAGCTGCTACCACGCATAATGCAATTGCTTAATTTAGACAGATGGCGGTACGTAAGTAATTTGCCCACATAGAGGTCGGAGCCGAATTGTCCTCTCTCTTTTGACTGATTTCTTCCCTGGTGGAGCCACTTTCGACTTCGTACATAGTTGCATACATAGTACACCACTTACACAACATGGAAAAAAGATATGGATGGATACATCACCGAGCGTGCATGAAGAAGGCAAATCTTGCGATTGCTAAAATCTTATTGCCACAAGCTAACCTACTGGTTGGTCTCCACGCATAGGTAGAGCGCCCGCTGAACTCGAACGGGACCGAGCAGTTTTGATTATGCAGGGGCTGACGTTAAGGAAAGGAAAGGAGAGCGGAGGAGAAGCCACGTGAACCTCGATAGCGAAAAGTGAAAGCCGTCAGAACCGGACCGGGGACTAGCCCCGGCAACGCAATGACGAAGCGAGCGACAAGGTATGATCCGCACGCTGCAGCATCCGGCGCACCGTCCCGTAGAGGCGGTTATCAGAACTCGGTATTCGTATAGCTCGTATGGGAGGCGACGATCTCTCTTACATCGCAGTCCAAGAGACTGGGGAGATGGTGCTGGTACCAGCAGCTGCCAAAATTGCTGATCGCATCGGATCTCATGTGATTGTTGACTGTCTGCTTGAAGATGGAGGCGGCTAAGCCCATCCTTCATTCCATAAGGGTTAACCTAGACATTCATGCGCACCAAAACTTGGCAACGCCGTCACCGCTAGAGGAATTTGCCACGGCTAGCTTCTTAGACCCACGTCTATTGGAACATCGACATGGAATGATATCGGGTACTTGGAAGAACGCGGCATAGCGACATTTGCGGATTGACATCGTGACTGAAATCCCGGTGGCGGTCAATGGAAAACGTCTTGGGAATACAAGGAAGCTGACCTCATCTCAGAAGTTCCGTAATACAGATGATTTTTTATACTACACAGCTACACTAGAGCCATAGGACTAGTAGAAGCTGACTAGTTTAACGTCCCGACCAATTTTAGAAATAGCTCTAGAGTAGTGGATTTATAAAAATACTGTAAGGCTCAACTTGAGCGCTATCTACTGAGTGATACTTCAAGGGTCCAACATCCTCTTGAACAAGATTCGTACGCCATTCACTGACAGCGGCAGGCCCACGGAATGTGGATACATCGTGTTATACTTAGCCTTTGTCCTATCGTATGTTTAACATGATGATCTGTACATAAAGGCTCTCTATAAGATGCGGCCGTAATTCAAGGAATTGGTATAGTCTCGGGTCACTTGACCGGCATATTTGAGGGATTCTCCTCAGATGCTTGTCTTACTTGATTTGGCCGCAGATAAACGTAGTAGTGAAATTTTTTGAGATTCGAGCATCT